GCAGACAATAGAGCGCCAAGTTCGCACATCGCTGAGCTCTGGTGCGGGATCCTCACTGTCGTCACTGATCTGATCAGTGTCAGTGTCGGATGATGAATTTCCCCCTGAACCACTATCGCTCCATTCTGCGAGTAATTCTAAGTCACTGTCGCTGTCATTTACCGGTCTAAAACTCCTTTTGTGCTCAAGTGACACCTTCTTGATGCCATGGACAAAAAATTTCCAAGGCAAAATTTTTTCCAAATGAGAGTAAAAGGGAAGACAGGACACTGGAGACTGATCTCTGGACAAATCTGAGGTGATTTGCTTTGATACAATGTAATCCTCACAGGTTATACTGTATCACTGTGTGTGTGTGTGTGTGTGTGTGTGTGTCTCTCTCTCACTCTCTCTCTCTCTTTTGGACTTGCAGTTTTGAATTTCCCGCCCAGTTCCACCCCGTGTGGTGACACTGCACAGCATGAGGAAGTCAGATCGCAGTGTAATCTCTGCAGTGTAATCCCGAGTGTGGTTTGGGGTTACCGCTTCTGACAGTTACACTTAACCTGAGCCACACTCGGGATTACCGCCAGGGAGGCTAAATAGACAATACATGGACATTTGCAGCGAGTGCAAACAGTTCATAACACGGTAATAGCTAGAAAGACTGTAAGGTGGGCTTATGGGGCAAAAGGTGTCTCCAAATATACTTTTAAAGCGCAATGATGATCTTCTGAGCAGTCAACTCCAGTGGCAAAACATCCAAATGGCAAAGCCCTTGAAATACAAATTGCATTCTTTCTCATTCAGCCGCTAAAAATAGTGTGCAGTTAGGTATTTATATTTTGACTTATTCTTTAAACTCTAAAGATTAACAAATCTTGTTGAAAAAAAACCAAACAGGAACTTTGGTATACTTTTCCCTCCACAGAATAGCAGCTCTCAAGGCAAATATCTTGGTATAAAGCTTTTTTCTTTGGTCTTCACTATTTATAAATTTAGAATAAAATAAAAACAGGTAGAAAGACTGGGGTAAGGAGTAGTCAAGGAAGACAGTTCCATAGTGAGGATGCTTTCTTTGCAATTTTCTGTATTTCACTTTTCTCTGCTCCCTTTTGAAGAGTGAATTGAGCTACAGGAAGTGATATGAAGAATCTTCTGTAGCTTCAGTAGAGAAGTCATTTACTATTTTTGATCCATTTCCATCATTACTCAATTACTTAAAAGGTCACAGGAATTGCTCTGTAAGTGAAAAAACAAAACAGCACATAGTTATCAAAAGAAAAAGGAATCACTGTCATATGTAGTTGTTAAAATAAGACAGTTACATAACCAATTAAACCAAGATCCTGAGAGTCAAAATCTTGATGTTCAATTAACACAAATTTTCATTCAGTAACAGATAAATATTTTGTTCTGTGGCACTGGCTGCAAGCCCTTCAAGGGACAACACTCTTCCCCTTCTTCTTTGCTTCCCGGCCCAGTCGTTCACCTTCTCGCCACTGAAGCTTGCTTTTAGGCAAATGCTGCCCTTCCGGACTCATACAGTTGATTGTACTAAGGAGTCCATTCTAGTGTGGTATTACTAACTTTAGGCTACCTACTGTTTATATGAAAGTTTAACCCAGGGAGGGGTTTGGTTCCAGGCTTACGGTCACAGTTTTGAGTGTCTAATACTATTTAGATATTAATTTATTGTGTTAGCACTGACAGAAATAATGTAACTTCATACAGTTCTTTTTAAGGACTTTTGAAAAGTCTGATGACTGGTTTTGCCTTCTTACATAATCATTTGTCCAAACAATTCAATGAGAAATGCAAACTAATGGATCTTTTAGATTTTGTTTCATACATTGAATAACTTGCCATAAGTGACCAAAGAGCCACATTAACTGTTGTTTTTCTTATTACCATATGTTGTATTATTAACTACTTGGTTGTTTAACTGCTGAGTACTATCCACAGTTGGGTCCCTACACAAGACATCTGTCACAACATTTCTCATACATTTACAGAATACATATTCTTAGAACCTTAGACATAAATTAACCTCCCTGGTGGTAATCCTTAGTGTGACTCAGGGTAAATGTTAACTGTCAGAAGCGGTAACCCCAAGCCACACTAGGGATTACACTGCAGAGATTACACTGAGATCTGACTTCCTTATTCTGTGCAGTGTCGCCGCACAGGGCAGAACTGAGCGGGGAAATTAAAAACTGCAAGTCCAAAAGAGAAAGAGAGAGACACACACACACACACAGTGATACAGTATAACCTGTGAGGATTACATTGTATCAAAGTAAATCACCTCAGATTTGTCCCTAGATCAGTCTCCAGTGCCCTGCCTACTCTTTTACTGTCATTTGGAAAAAGTTTTGCCCTGAAAATTTTTTGTCCATGGCATCAAGAAGGTGTCACTTGAGCACAAAAGGAGTTTTAGACCAGGTAAATGACAGCGACAGTGACTTAGAATTACTCGCAGAATGGAGCGATAGTGGTTCAGGGGGAAATTCATCATCCGACACTGACACTGATCAGATCAGTGACGACAGTGAGGATCCCGCACCAGAGCTCAGCGATGTGCGAACTTGGCGCTCTATTGTCTGCGGAACGGATCTGGCAGTTCCCCCGAGATTCCTGTTGACTGGAGCACCCGGTGTGAAAGGAGACGCTGACCACAACGACCCTTTGGCGAACCTACAATTGTTTCTGAGCGATGAGGTCATCGAAAAAATTGTTACGGAGACAAACCGGTACAAAGAGCAACAGTCCGCTACTCTGCTTCATGAGTTTTCAAGAAGCAGAAAGTGGAACCAGTGACCAAAGATGACATTTGGAAATGTCTGGGCCCAATAGTACTTCAGGGAGTGGTGGGGAAACCCCTGCGGAGATGGTATTGGACCACCAGTAAATTACTTGCAACTCCAAATTTTTTGGCACCGTCATGTCAGAATACAGATTTTCCCTGATTATGAATTTTTTTCACTTCACAAACAATGAAGAATTTGATGAAACTACTCATCCTGCACCAAAACTAAAGAAATATGTGCCAGCAGGAGACATCAGCATAGATGAAAGTCTAATGG